TCCAGGACATCTCAAAGATTAGAGCCAGAGGCTCTGAAATGACATCTGCAATTTCTTTTAGCACCCTGGGATGCAACCCATCCGGCCCTGGAGATTTGAAAGTATTTAAGGCAGCTAGATGCTCTCTAACCATTTCCTTACTTACTCTAGACTAGCAGTTCCTCCTTCCTTCATATGCTCTGCATTCTTCAGTTTGTATACAGCTCACCTTACAGTTAAAGACCGGCGCAAAGTGAGAGTTGAGTAATTCCACTTTGTCTTCATCCCTTGTTAAGGCTTGACCGTCTTCCCCTAGCAATGAGCTTACCCCATCCCTGTTCTTTTTGCTCCAAACATAGGCATAGAAATTTTTCTTGTTATTTTTAGCATCCCTCGCAAGCCTCAGCTCCATCTGCGCTTTAGCCTTTCTGACACCATCCCTACAGATTCGAGCCTGCTTTTTGTATTCACCCTCAGTAATCTGACCCTCCTTCCATTTCCTGTACATTTCCCTTTTTAGTCTCAGCTCTTTAGAGAGTTCCTTGTTCAGCCACCTTGGCTTCATTACCCGTCTCCCACCTTTCTTTCTTACTGGAACAGTTTGAGATTGTGCCTTAAGCACTTCATTTTTCAGCATCACCCATCCTTCCTGTGCAGATTTCCCCCTCAGCATTTCCAGCCACGGGATCCTACCTAATATTTCTCTGAGTTTTTTTAAATCAGCTTTCCTGAAGTCCAGGATACGAGTCCTACTATGTCCTGGTTTCACATCCTTCTCTATGTCAAATTCCAAGCTGACATGATTACTATTCCCCAAGTATCCCACAGCATTCACTTCATCAACCAGTTCTTCCCTGTTAGTCAGGATTAAATCCAGGATAGCAGATCCTCTGGTTCCCACCTCCACCTTCTGAGAGATGAAGTTGTCTGCAAGACTATTAAAGAATCTGCGGGATGCCCCATGTCTAGCAGAGTTAGATTTCCAGCAAATATCTGGATAGTTGAAATCGCCCATAACCACTACATCTTGTACATTTAATATATTTGCAGATTATATAGTTGTATGAATGGTAAATCATAAAGAAGCATTACCTGAATTAATGAAGAAGATTTGTGATAATGGAAGAATTGCAGGATTACGTATTAATTATAAGAAGTCTGGAATACTATACATAAATATAAACCCAAAAATGCAACTTGAAATGCGAAATGAGTTCGGATTCTCCATACATCATAAATCATTCAAATGTGTTTATAGCTATGGAGGGAGAAAAACCTCAAAAAGAATGGTAGATAGAGTAATAATCTTTCCAAGCCCATAGTAAAAGAAATATCAATGTTTAGATGATTGTGACTTGCCAAAACAATGGGTTTGGACTGCGTGTAATATTAAAAAAAAAGTGTTTAATGTAATGATTTCCTTCCAATTTATGAAACCTGTAATTATTTCTTGTGCTTGGAAAATAACAATAAAAAGTAAATGTTAAAAAATCATTCAAATATTTGGGAGTTACTATCCCAAAGAATTTAATTAAACTACAGCAGCTAAACTTCCATCCGGTTATTCTACAAATAAGAAGAGATATTAAAAGATGATCCCAGTTACAGATGACAATCATGGGTAGAATCACCGCTATCAAAATGATGGCAGTTCCAAAATTAAATTACTTTTTCCAAATGCTTCCCATATATATCACATCAAGGGACCTAGCCTGCTGGCAAAAAATCTTTACCAATTTTATCCATCAAGGTAAAAGACCAAGACTCATGAAGGCTATAAGATACAAAAGGGTGGCTTCAAGGAGGATGGGGAGAACCAAATATAAGCAAATATTATGAGGCAAACCAATTGAGAGCCTCAGTGTCATATTTAAATGGAATATCTGATAAGTCTTGGGTGAGCAAGGAAGCAGATGGGAAACATCTGAATTTAATTGAGAAGGGGAAAATTGGAGGGGAAAAAGTAAGAGACATTAAATGTGTAGAGAACCCTTTCCTATATATCACATTTTAAAATTGGGTTAAATGGAAAAATAAACTGATCCCAGAGATGCCCCCGTTGATTCCTATCATATTACATCCCAACTTCTCATGTCTGGATAAACCAGAAAACTATATTAAATAGAAAGAAAAAGGGATTTATAGAATGAGAAATCTTTATGTAGATGGAACTTCCTTTACTGTGATGCAATTAAATGGAAAATTGCAAGGAGAGTTAAATTGGTTTTCGCTGTATCAACTGCATTACCTAATTGTAAACTCTATGGTAAGGCAAACAAGAAGAGAAGAAGAGATTGGATTTATACTACCCTTCACTACCCAAAGGAGTCTCAGAGGAGCAGCTTACAAACTCCCTTCCCCTCCCCACAACAGACACCCTGTAAGGTAGATGGGACTGAGAGAGCGCTGACAGAAACTGCTATTTTTCAAGAACAGCTGTGCCAGAACTATCATCAACCACATCAAACCCGGTTCTCCGAGATTAGAGTCCACGCACTTAACCACCACTACGCCAAACCACACCAAAACCAAAACCATGACTAGAAAGCTGTTGAAATTTGAGCAGATTTTAATGCAACATATGACAAGTCTAAAAGGAGTAATCTCTAAAATATATGCTTATATAATTGAGATAGATTTAGGTTCACTAAATGGGTTGAAAATAACATAAGAGAAAGATATCAGAATAAAGACTGAGCAAAATGTTTGGAATAAGATATGGTTTATCCAGACAAGGAAAATAGCTCTTAGAGAGAACTCCTTGAAATTACTACATACCTAGGTGATATTTCACCCCAGTTCGCCTTGCAAGAATAACCAACACAAATAATACAAAAATGCTGGAGAAAGTATAATCAGCATGATGATTATATTCATATGTGGTGCCTATGCTCAGTAGTGTCACAGTTTTGGGAGACACGTTTTGCAGAAATGGCAAAAATTACACGTCAAAGCATCTGTGTTACACCAGCTTTGGCCCTATTAAAAATATGGGAGAAACAAGATGAAAAGGTGACTTCTGAAGGACTAATAGTGTTTATGTTAATGGAAGTGCGCAGGACAGTTGCTAAAAACTGGACAGCCACAGAATTATTAACATTACACTCATGGTATTCTGAGTTATGGCAGATTGCAATAGCTGAAAAATTAACTAATCAGATTAGAATAATCAAATCCAAAGCCAAAACTGTAGACTTTTTTGAAACATGGCACAATTTTATTTCATACACAACTCAGAACAATACTCCAAGTATGTTTAAGCCCTTCCTCAGACTATGGGATAGGCTTGCCAAGCCCCCGCTGGGGGCGGATAAATTCCCGCCCGGGAGGCCCGTTACCCACCGCCGGCGGATCGGTCCCCAGGGGGAACTCCACCCCCTACCGGAGGGCATCCCCAGCGTGATGATTGGCGTCCAGAAATCTCTATGGAGGTGACATCATCACACTGGCCACATTGTGGGGGGGGACACTCTGTGAATCGAGGGAAAAAACTATGGTTTTCCCTCAAGTCACAGTGCCCTGCCCCCAACATGGACAACGCAATGATGTCACTTCCGGTGACATCATCATGGTGCACGCTTTGCACGGGGGGAGACTCCCGACGGAGCCAGGAATCCCCCCGCTTTGCAGGTAAGTCGACTTGGCAACCCTACTATGGGATAAAGTTAAGTAAGCCTCTCTCTATAATCATGTTGTAACTATACATTAATTATGTATGTTTATCTTTGTATTTATGCCGAATGCTGAGCTCTCTACCAATGCTTTAATTTGCTTGCTTTTTTGCTTTTCTTTATGCTAATAAAGGCTAATTTGAACTTGAACTATTTTTCATTTTTTTTCTCTTTGTTGTTATGTGTACACTGTAGGTTGTTCTTCTATATGGGGAGTGGGGTGTGTACTTGATGTTTATGTCTGTTTTTTTCTATATTTAAATAAAAATTATTTAAAAAAACATTTTTTAGACAATTTGTATTGGTAACAGTATGGAAGCTCTGAGCTCTTCAAAATTTCTAAACAAGATAATACAGGACAATATAGCCATTAAATTAGTACTGTGTTCCTGTTATTTCAGTTAGGATCCCTGTTTCAAACTCTCAGCACATTGAACAATTTTAATTATATAAACACCTCAAGCAGGTCAATGGAGAATTTCTGATTGTTCTAAATAAATACATCTATACTCAGACTGTTATAGTGGCTGGTATTGTGATTATTTCCAATATATCTATTCCTGATTGTGTGTGGGGGGGTGTTCTCTGCCTGTCAGAATAGACAGCATTGGGATAACTAGGTAAATGATCTGTGTTTCTTTAAGGAAACTTCATAGGGATACGTACGTGACTTTAATAACACAGTATAGACCATAACCTGCCTGACTTCAGTACACTTGTTTTTGTTTTTCAGAAAAGGGGTAGAATGCAAACACTGAGTGTAAAACAATATATATAAAGAGCCGGGCAGAACTGAACAAGACTTCTACTCTATATAACTGTGACTGCTGTTGTCATCTCAGTAATGGGAAAGACACTAACATGTATTGGTTAATCTACCTGATATATACACTTTATTCAGATAGGAATTTACTGTATATCTTTTAATGCTTTGTGATCTTCTTCAGGGACACATCTGGGCAAGGCAGATTCTGCACCATATTTCGTTCTTATTCAAGAGGGGCCCAGGTAAGAATAATGTTGCCTCCTCTGACATATGTCATT